AAAAAGGGACAAGGACACCTGTGGTTAAGAGGAAACAGTTAAGATTTTTTCTGTTTTTCTAACTTTTTCTAACAGAAACTGCAATAAAATAAATGTTAAGCATTAAAAACTGCTTTAAGTTAGGAGCTAACAGTGTTGTCAGCACACAGAACTTTACACATACCGGACAGGCAACCCATTAATTGCCGTGCTGTTTCATGAAACTATTGCTAAGGGCTATTAATATATGTGAAAAGAGGACATTTAATAATATTTTACTGAAGGGTCAGTATACAGTAATTAAGTTTGACTAGTTTAGGTCAAAAAACTAAACCACTGTAAAGCAGCCAAAGCAACCAAAAGAGCCCAAAAGAGAAGAAAAGCTTTTTTCTCCACATCAAGCAAAATAAATGTCACAGGGGAAGATAAGTTCAAAATTAAGTTATGCAAGGTTCTTACTTTTAGAGCTACAGTATATTTGTCTTTTAGAGAGCCATACTTCATTGTTAAAAAATTTGAAGGAAAATGCTTTCTAATGGAAGGGCAAAATGTTAGCAAAAGAAACCTCTAAAGTCACTTTAAGGAAACTGCACCTGTTGCTACCTTACTCGAATGAGTCCGTGTCAAATTTACTTGTCAATTATCACAGAGAGGGTAGACAGGTGGGAGAGGGGTAGTTTGTTTCACCTGTATTTAAAACACAAAGAACATTTTTTGAAACATTTCAGCTTTGGGACAGAAGGGCTTACTATGCAGATCTAAATGTTTCCACAGTAAAGCCACAAGGTGCCTTGCCAGATTTGAAAAACAAAACAAAACAAAAAAAAACATAAGTCAGCTTGTTTCCCTATTTCAGGAAAGGGATTAATTCACCTAGTAGTTCATCAAGGATTTTGGAATTCAGTAACTCTTCTCAGCTACTTAACTTATTCTTTCCTCCTCTGCCCATCCCCAAGCCCCCCAAAAAAGGAACTGTTTTAACACATATCCCATAAGGGATGTGGAATTAAATGAGAAAGGGAAGGTCTTTTTTTTTTTCTTTTTTTTCTTTTTTTAACATCAAGGAACAAAAAGTGTCAAGAATGGCAAAATCCACATACTGAATAAGTACGGAGAGATCAGTACTCTTAGATTCTGATTTTTTGGCTTTCAAGTAATTCGCTCAACAATTTGGCAATTCCAGATACAGTAACAGCATGATTCACCAAGGGCAAGTCATGACTGATCAACCTGACTGCCTTCTATGACAAGATAAGTAGTTCAGAGGATATGGGGAAGGCGGTGGACATGATATACCTTGACTTTAGCAAAGCTTTTAATACCACTCTTAGATTCTGATTTTTTGGCTTTCAAGTAATTCGCTCAACAATTTGGCAATTCCAGATACAGTAACAGCATGATTCACCAAGGGCAAGTCATGACTGATCAACCTGACTGCCTTCTATGACAAGATAAGTAGTTCAGAGGATATGGGGAAGGCGGTGGACATGATATACCTTGACTTTAGCAAAGCTTTTAATACCATCTCCCACAATATTCTTGCAAGCAAGCTAAGGTAGTATGGATTGGATAAATGGACTTTAAGGTAAATTGTTGGGCTCAAAGAGTAGAGATCAATGGTTTGATGTCTGGTTGGCAGTTGGTATCAACTGGTGCGCCCTAAGGGTTGGTTCTTAGGCCAGTTTAATTCTACATCTTTATTAATGACCTGGATGAGGGGATGGATTGCACCCAAGTTTGCAGATGACACTAAGCTAGAGGGAGAGGTGGATATGCTGGAGGGCAGGGATAGGGTCCAGAGTGACTTAGACAAATTGGAGGATTGGGCCAAAAGAAACCTGAGGAGGTGCAACAAGGACAAGTGCAGTGTCCTGCACTTGAGATGGAAGAATCCCAAGTATTGCTACAAGCTGGGGAATAACTGGCTAAGCAGCAGTTCTGCAGAAAGAGCTCAGGGGATTACAGTGGATGAGATCACTTGATATGAGTTAGTGTGCCCTTGTAGCCAAGAAGGCTAACAGCATATTAGGCTGCATTAGTAGCACTGCCAGCAGATCGAGGGAAACGATTTTTCCCATTTATTCTGCACTATTGAGCCTACCTCTGGAATACTGCATCCAACTCTGGGCCCACTATTACAGAAAAGATGAGGTCGCACTGAAGAAAGTCCATTGGAGGGCAACAGAACTGATTAGGGGCATATGATTTACAAGGAGAGGCTGAGGGATTTGGTCTTATGTAGTCTACAGAAGAGAAGAGCGGGGAGGGTGGGATTTGATATCAGCCTTCTGATACCTGAATTTAAACTGCATCAGTTCCATTGAGACTTCTCCATTTCCTGTCTGATCATGCTGGGGGCTCTGCTCTGCTTGTCTCCTGCCCTCTGGACCCCCAGCTCCCATCATCATCTGGGAACCCCGATCAGTGCAAACTCCACAGAGTGGTGAGGTCTGTCTGTCTCTCTCTTTCCCCTCTCCCCCCATCCCCAGGCATAGCCTGACTCTGCCCTATGTAAACTGTTACATGGTTAGCTAGCCCTAACATTTGTAATCAGTTTCAATTTAGATTTAATATTGTAACTGTTTTGTGTGTTTGGCTCCCTATATATATATATTTTGAATAACTTTCAATGTTAAACTGGTTGCTTCTCTCTCTTTCTCTTTCGCTCACTCTTCCTCAAGGGGTTTTGGTTTGGTTTCCCCCATTCGCTCTGCAACAACACTTCTTGTACCCAAGCTAAAGATCCCTGTAGTGCCCAAAATCCTGTGGGGTTTCCTCATCGTGTGGTTTACCAGAGAATGATTGTGGTGTGAAAGTGGGGACAGGGAAGTGCTGAACCTGGGGGCATATGAGTCCAAAGGCTCATGAGGGTTCAGTGTGGCACTGCTGTCAAACCCAGCCTGCTGAGTCCAGGGACATATGAGGGGTCAGCTTGCAAGTGCTGATTACCGTGTCATCTGGCGTACTCTGTTAGTGGGTGTGAGTGTCTGTGTGTGTTGCTACAGTGGGAAGAACCCCATCCTGAGGAACCTAGTTCCTGCAGGAGAGCTCCAGTGGGAGGGAGAATTGGCAGCAGGGAGAATTCAGCTCCATATGAGAGCACAAGTAAGCACAAGCAGCACACTGACAGAATTGTTAAACTTCCCCAGTCCCATAAGAATAACCCTAATAAATGAGCATACCCCAAAGTATTGGGCAAATCTGGTAACACTGACTTGACAAAGCCCTGGCTGGGATGATTTAGTCGGGATTGGTCCTGCTTTTAGCAAGGGGTTGGACTTGACCTCCTGAGGTCTCTTCCAACCCTATGATTCTATGAAGCTATTTCATAGTTAATATTTCCACAATCAACTCACCCACAAACAGAAAATTCACATTAAGCAGCTTCTTTTTAAACTAGAAATTCAATTTTTACACTACAATGCACTGAATCAATGTGGGAATTTCATTTCTCACACCAAATTCACTTCCAATGAGCTTAAATGTAGTGTGTGTGAGCAAAAGACTGTTTCAAGACTTGACAACCATCAAATCAGAGTCATTTTATTTCCAATGTTTACACTTGGCTGTAAGATATCCTTATACTGCAACTTTTGAAACTTCCCATATGGCACAAAGTTAAATCAAATGTGTTTGAAAGAAGACATTCTAATGATTTATTCCAACATCCATTAGTAACACAATTCAGGCAGCAGCTGATAAGTTTCACTTAGTAAACAAATTAGGGCAAATGTATATTGTATATCAGGGTGGGGAACCTTTTTTTGAGTTCGGAGCCACTGACCCACAATAAAATCAGTCAGGGGACACACACAAAAACCCTTCACTGGCGTGGAACCCGACTGAGGAGGAGAAAGACACTCCTCACATTCTCCTTCTACGCCAGAGCATGGAGGGGGAGGGGGGGGGTCCAACCTAGTAGACTTTGTGTGCTCTAGCTCTGTGGTGGAGCAGCTGGGGGTTGAGCCTCATGGGCTGGATCCAGACAAGCTGGGGGCCACATCCAGCCCCCAAGCCTGAGGTTCCCCACCCCTGTTGTATATGAAGAGGGACCAACTGAGAGACTCTTGTAAGTTAATGAAAGCCTGTTTAGGAATAAGAAAATAATAGCTTTTAGCCAATGAAATGTGAGAATCAGACTTTTTTTGTTCTGTGAAGTAGGCACTAGTTGTCTGATTGCCCTGAGCCAGGCTTCATGCCCTTACAGGTTTTGCATAACTAATGAAATACATCTGATTAAGGACAGTATCTAAAATGGAATCTAGCACAGCATATAAAAGCATCTCTCATAATGGGGAATACCACCACAAAAAGCATCGTTCCTAATAGTGGAGACATACCACAGAAATGTAAGCATGTGGAATCGCTGATATCCAAGACACTCTCCCAGATGCATCATGGGAGAGGAGAATAAAGATAGCTCTGAAATCCCTACTTTTATTCTGGCAAGAGACTCTTGCTCAGATAAGGAGTGCCCTTGAAGTTGGAGAGACTGCATGAGAGAGGGTTGTTGCGTAGATTGGGTCCAAATATTTAAGAGTAGTAAGATGCCTCAGTGGAAGCAAAGGAGTGGAGAGAAATATATCCAAAAAGTCAACCTACAGAAACCACTGAACTTCTTCACAGTCACAAAATATCATAGAATTTACCTTAAGCAACAAAGGACAGAGACAAAAGCTGGTTAAATAACAGATTTTCAAACTGAGTTGTCAAATGTATTTAATGACACTTCCGGATGATCTCAGCTAGGAATATAAAATCCCATTCAACTAATTAAACTATTAAACATTAAGTTTAACCAGTTAACTGATTGAACAGGGTGGGCCAGCCCAGCACCCACCAGAGCCAGGCTTGAGCAGCCCCTGCGCCACACACAGGAGCAGCTCCTGGCCCCAGGCTGTCGGCTCACAGCCCACGCAGGCTAGGAATCAGCAGCCTTGCACAGGGCCAGAAGTTGGAACACCTGCCCGCCCCCCTGCCGCTTCTGGCCCCGTGTGAGGCCCACATCACCCAGTACTTACCAGGTAACCAGGTCCCTAATCTCAACATAGGAGGTCATCTACACAGATCATCTCTTATACAGGTCTCACTGTATGTTCACTTGTTCCCATCTTAACTGGGCCATTTAACATCCTAGAAAATAAGTCAACAGACAAAATATGAAAAAAGAGAAATCAATTAGAAAACAACTGCAGACACACACAAGTGAGAGGAACAACATAAGGCTACCACAAATATAGAAAAGTAAGGAGCCTTAGGAATTAGTCTAAAAGTGAACAGTCTACAATCATACATAAGTATGCAGAGTCATCCAGATAGGTAGAGTGTAAGAGTTCTCCATGCTCATTTTTTAGACAGAAATGAGGCAGTAATAAACAACTAAAATAGATACTGAGCCCGATTCCCTGACAGAAGGAACAAGTAGAGGTCATGGTACATCTCCATTGTAAAGATACACCAGTGAAGTGTCAGTGAGCGCACACACACACACACTTGGGAGTTCATAACATTAAAAAGTCCCTGGGGTTCCCCATCTGGAATACAGAAGGAGAGTAATGAAATCAATAGATGAAATAAAGCTCCCTCTTTTTCATAAAAAGGCTTGATCCTTCTGAAATAAAATTTAAGTTTTGTCACTGGTTTTAATGACAACGGGCTTTGTCCAGGAAGTGGGAAATGTAAAAAGATAATGTGATTGGGAGGTTAGAGCAACAGCCATCAAATAACAGGAAATCGAAAATTAAAGTTGGCTAAAGCCATTTTAGTGGTGATATGAATAGCATATACTGTGGAGAAGAGATCTAAGAATATGTTCACTGATTAGAAGTTCCAAAAGAATCCACAAACAATCTTAAGGCTTAAAGCAGCAGACATCACGGGGTTTTAACATGCAAAAGGAAGAGGTAGTAAATCAAAACTTATCAGTTCATCCTGTTGACTACATGCAGAGGCAGTGGGCAGACAGGAGCCAGTGCTGGGGGGAGCCAGCTTAAAAGCCCGTCATGGACAGAGGCTGCTGTCCCCCCACACTGCTGCCTCTGTATTGGGGCGGCAGGCGGGAGCCAATCTGCATGGGAAGCCAGTTTTTAAACCAGCTTCCCTTGTGAACCAGCTCCCGCCTGCCACCCCATGCTGCTGCCTCTAATAGGCAGCAGCACAAGGTGGCAGGGACTCCCTGGGAGTGGGGCCGGGAGTGCACTGGCTGATGGCCCCATCTCCAGAGACTATCGAATAGCCATGTAACCACTAAAAGTTGATGCAGTTACACGATTATTCAATTAGACCCTATCTAACATTTCTAGAGTTTGTACTATTATACAGGGTATTGGCATAACCTCATCTAAAATACCATGTGCAACAGTGGTCAATTATGTTTAGGAAAGATGAAGACAATCTGCAACAGGTACAGACAAGGGCTACCAGGATGATCTGAGGAATGGAAAATCTACCTCACAAGAGGAGACTCAAAGAGCTTGACTTGCTTAGTCTAACCAAAAGAAGGCTATAGGGAAGATATAACTGCCTCTGAGTAGATCAGAGAGGGAGATGTACCAGGGAGAGAGAAGAGTTATTTAGTCAAGTGCCCAAGGGGACACAAAAACAAATGGCTATAAACTAGCCATCAACAGGTTTAGGCTCAAAATTAGATGAAGGTTTCTAACCATCAGAAGAGTTAAGTTCTATAATAGCCTTCCAAGGGGAGCAGTGGAAGCAAAACACCTACGTGGCTTGAAGACTGAGCTTGGCAAGTTTATGGAGGATATGGCATGATGGGACTGCCTATAATGGCATGTGGCCTATCAGTGACTACCAATAACAAACTGCTGGACACAGGACACTAGACGGGGAGGGCTCCAAGTTGCTACAGAGAATTCTTTCCCACGTATGTGCCTGGTGGGTTCTGCCCACACACACAGTGTCTATCTAACTCATCTCTGCTCCCCCCGAATTTTTGGCACGGGTCACTTGCAGGTTTAAACTAATGTAAATTGTGAATTCTCTCTAACAAAGTCTTTAAATGATGGTTTGGGGACTTGAGTAAGTCAGCCCGGAGCTACTGGTCTATTTCAGAGGGAGTGGTTGAATTCTGTGGCCTACAATGTATAGGAGAGGCCAAAGGAGATGATCAGAATGGTCTCTTCTCACCAGTGTTCCCTCGATGCTGCATGGCAGCACAGCTTCATTTGGAGCCCTGAGCCTCTGACTGGGCAGGGCTGATGAATCACCTGTGAAGCTGTGTTGCTGCACAGCTTAGAGGGAACATTGCTTTTGACCTTAAAAATGTATCACAGATTCAGACTTTAATACATTTACCTATGATAAGTTTAACACACAAGGTTGCCAGGACATGTTTTTTGTTAAAAGCCTGGTTAACAGTGAAGTGGGGCTAAGGCAGGCTCCCTGCCTTTCCTGGCTCTGCATGACTTCCCTGTGACCGCTAGGCCAGGGAAGCTCCTCACACTGCCCCCGCTCTGAGTGCTGGCTCTGCAGCAGTGGCACCCATGGACAAGGGCAGCAATATGAGAGCCCCCGGCCACCCTGCACCTAGGAGCCACATGGAAATACCGGCAGCTTCCAGAAGCTGCCTGAGGTAAACACCATCCAGAGCCTGTACTCCAACCACCCCCCACACACCTGCCCCAAGCTCCCTCCTATATCCTACCTCCTTGCCCCAACCTAGAGCCCTCTCCCAGAGCCTGCACCTCAATCCCCACTCCAGCCCTGAGCCCTGCCCACTACTGCTCCCAGACTATCACCCAATAGCCTGCACTCCCTTCCTGCACTCCAAACCCCTCAGTGACAGCTCTGAGCCCCCTCCTACACCCCAGAGCCCACAGCACATACACCCCAATCCTCTGCCCCAGCCCAGCGCTCCCTCATGCACCTGAAACCCATAATTTCTGGCCCCACTCCCTCAGAGTCCTCCCACACCCCAACCCCTTTCCCAGCCCCCCTCATACTCCAAAGGCTTTGGCCCCAGCCCCCCAATCCAAAGCCTCCTTCCCAATCCTGAACCCCTCATTTGTCCCCACCCTGCAGCCTGCACTCCCAGCCAGAGTTCTCATCCCCACCCTCTGCCCCAGTCTGATGAAAATAACTTAGTGAAGGTAGGAGAGAACAAGCAATGGCGGGAGAGTGGAAAGAATGAATGGGTCCTCAGAAAAGGTGTAGAGCAGGGATAGGGCAGGGCAGGGAAGGGCAGGGGGGGAAGCGAGATGATCCTCAAAGCAACAACTGTCTTCATTATATATCCATTCACAAATGCAGGTCATATGAATATCTATTTTGGCTGCTATGAGTTCCCTAGTCTCCTAGAATATGCCTCTGAAGATTGGATTTTATCTAATATCCTTAATCTGCTTTGTAATCTATCCTCAATGCTGCTAGTTCTTAAATCAGATTGATTGGACTTTCTGAAATTGAACAAACTCACATTAAGCGTTCAATCACTGTCTTTTCTTTCACTATTCTTTCAATCAAGGGAGAACTAGCTCCCCCTCAGGCAGCAAACAGGATTTATCTTCTAGGGATAAAGGAGTTTGCTTTACTTATTTAACACTATTCTGTCAGATGGAAGGGGTGTGCCCTGGAATGGCTGCATGTGTGAGCACACACACATATAGACACCCCTCCAGAAGGAAGTCTTCTGAAACTGACTGAAGCCCTGAAAACAGCTTCATTTTTTACAGATAAGTATAAGAGAGGAAGTGGCAATGCACGTTTCCTCACATACAATGGAAATTCCAAGCAAGATTTGAGACAGTTCCCATGGCCTTTCTGCTGAGAATGCCAATAATGGTGTTGCTTTTTTGAGATTAATATAGTTGTTCGTAAGGAACCAGAATACCAAACTCACAAGCCACAAAAGTCACCAACCCAAGAGACAGTAACATTTCATTATCAGCCTAGATTGGATTCATAACAGTAGTAAATGATTCAATATGCAATTACAAATACCAAGAACTGTCTAGTCCTACCCTATTCTCTCAGTAATGTTCACTGGCTTTTTGAAACTGAGCAGCTATTATGGAAGTGATAAAGGCAACAGTGCTTGCTGTGAAATGAGTTACTCTCAGTTGATTTGCTAGCAAACAGGTGCCCACACACCCCAAACCCCCAACTACTGCTCTTCTCAGACTCAGCAGAGACCACAAATTGAAAGTATACAGAAAATGACATATCCTCCCACCACCAGAAAAAATCCCTAACAGTCTAGTCTCAGGAACGTTTTTGGGCAGGAAACAGAGCTGCCACTGCCTGTAGCATACCTCTTCTGTGGATTAGTAATTTCAGCTCCCCCAGGCTATAAAATCAGCAACTTCCGAACGTCCTAAATGCATATGTAAAACAAGTGAAAAAAAATGAATAAATGAGAAAGGCGCTCCCTCATGCACCTGAAACCCATAATTTCTGGCCCCACTCCCTCAGAGTCCTCCCACACCCCAACCCCTTTCCCAGCCCCCCTCATACTCCAAAGGCTTTGGCCCCAGCCCCCCAATCCAAAGCCTCCTTCCCAATCCTGAACCCCTCATTTGTCCCCACCCTGCAGCCTGCACTCCCAGCCAGAGTTCTCATCCCCACCCTCTGCCCCAGTCTGATGAAAATAACTTAGTGAAGGTAGGAGAGAACAAGCAATGGCGGGAGAGTGGAAAGAATGAATGGGTCCTCAGAAAAGGTGTAGAGCAGGGATAGGGCAGGGCAGGGAAGGGCAGGGGGGGAAGCGAGATGATCCTCAAAGCAACAACTGTCTTCATTATATATCCATTCACAAATGCAGGTCATATGAATATCTATTTTGGCTGCTATGAGTTCCCTAGTCTCCTAGAATATGCCTCTGAAGATTGGATTTTATCTAATATCCTTAATCTGCTTTGTAATCTATCCTCAATGCTGCTAGTTCTTAAATCAGATTGATTGGACTTTCTGAAATTGAACAAACTCACATTAAGCGTTCAATCACTGTCTTTTCTTTCACTATTCTTTCAATCAAGGGAGAACTAGCTCCCCCTCAGGCAGCAAACAGGATTTATCTTCTAGGGATAAAGGAGTTTGCTTTACTTATTTAACACTATTCTGTCAGATGGAAGGGGTGTGCCCTGGAATGGCTGCATGTGTGAGCACACACACATATAGACACCCCTCCAGAAGGAAGTCTTCTGAAACTGACTGAAGCCCTGAAAACAGCTTCATTTTTTACAGATAAGTATAAGAGAGGAAGTGGCAATGCACGTTTCCTCACATACAATGGAAATTCCAAGCAAGATTTGAGACAGTTCCCATGGCCTTTCTGCTGAGAATGCCAATAATGGTGTTGCTTTTTTGAGATTAATATAGTTGTTCGTAAGGAACCAGAATACCAAACTCACAAGCCACAAAAGTCACCAACCCAAGAGACAGTAACATTTCATTATCAGCCTAGATTGGATTCATAACAGTAGTAAATGATTCAATATGCAATTACAAATACCAAGAACTGTCTAGTCCTACCCTATTCTCTCAGTAATGTTCACTGGCTTTTTGAAACTGAGCAGCTATTATGGAAGTGATAAAGGCAACAGTGCTTGCTGTGAAATGAGTTACTCTCAGTTGATTTGCTAGCAAACAGGTGCCCACACACCCCAAACCCCCAACTACTGCTCTTCTCAGACTCAGCAGAGACCACAAATTGAAAGTATACAGAAAATGACATATCCTCCCACCACCAGAAAAAATCCCTAACAGTCTAGTCTCAGGAACGTTTTTGGGCAGGAAACAGAGCTGCCACTGCCTGTAGCATACCTCTTCTGTGGATTAGTAATTTCAGCTCCCCCAGGCTATAAAATCAGCAACTTCCGAACGTCCTAAATGCATATGTAAAACAAGTGAAAAAAAATGAATAAATGAGAAAGGGAAGATGGGGGTAAATAGAAGCAACAAAATCCATCTTCAAGCCATGGGTCCAAGTCTTTTCTTTTCACTTACTTGGTGAACATCCTTTTTTCT